GGCTTGGTAGCCGCGCCTCCCAATGTTTTGCCTGCCCAACAAAATGGCGGCGTATACCGTGATTTGTTGAACTGTACGTTTTCAAAGCGATCGTTGTCGATTTGCGTTGACGATTTTAAAATTGAAGTTCAAATGCACTAGATCTGTATGAAAAAGCTATTTTAATCAGGAGGTTTTATTTCTTCGCGTACTCCGGTTTTCCCCTCACATAAAAAAAAACAATATTTCAGTTGATTTGTTCTGCTTTAAGTTGATTTGTAGTCTCCCAAATTAGTAGAGCACTCATGCTCAAATAAATAGCCTTGAGACTCAAATAAAGTGATTGTTGTTATTAGTATTAGTATTTACTTACATGAAATATCATTAAAAGCTAACTTTTTTGACAAGATCTTGTAACATTGTCTTAACATTGTTTTTAATAGATGTAAGAGTGTTGATACCTTAATTAATAATTTTCTGAGATCTTGTCATTTTTTTTATCAATAGAATGCTGCAAACTGACTTTTGATGACAAGATCCTGTAAGGTTTCTTTAAGATCTTACAAGATTTTATCAAGATCTTTTAAGATCTTAAAATGCTACACATTGACTAAATTTGACAAGATCTTGTAAGATTTATTTTAAGATCTTACAAGATTATTATTAAGATCTTTTAAGATCTTAGCAAGTTGGATACTGATTTTTTTTCTGATAAGATCTTGTAAGATTCTCTTAAGATCTTACAAGATATTTTTTAAGATCTTAGAATGTTGAATATTGATTTCTTTGGATAAGATCTTGTAAGATCCTCTTAAGATCTTACAAGATTCTTACCAAGATTTTTTAAGATCTTAAGAGTTAAACACGATCTTATTAAGATCTTAATCTTGATAAGAATTTTACAAGATTCTTGTAAGATCTTACAAGATCTTAATAAGATTTCCACCTGGGAGGGAAATCTCATGCCCATCCTTGGACATCTCAAACATAGGACGTACTTTACCTTTGATACCTTCCCATGAATCACCCTCTTTGGTGCGCTGGTTGTAAATTGTTAGTGTCCTGTTATCACAGTTCAGATAAAATTCAATAATGTCACCATTTACACAGTTTTGTAATGTACTTTTCTGAGCATGTGATGAGGGTTGGTACTTTTCTCCCTCCTCCCACATCCACTGGGCCTTACAAGGCCACCTCATGTCATTGCTAACACCAACACCAAAGGAAAATCCAGAGGAAACTTCACCAGACAATTTGGCTTTCCATGAATGCTTTCCGATATGAAATGAAGAAGTTCCGAAGACTGTGAGTCTTTCAGTCAAGTCTTCATCTGGCTCTTCATACGAGTCTGTGTCTGTGTCTTCATCTGCATCCTCTTCTGTGTCCTCATCTGCCTCCTCATCTGTATCCTCATTAGAGAATAATAAACCTTGGTCTCTACCTGCTGATCTTCTAAGTAAGTCTCCAATAGTCATAAAGAACCTGTCTTCATCAGCCTCTTCGTCTAGGTTCTCGTCTGATTCTTCATCTGTGTCTTCATAATTGTCTTGATCATTTTCCTCAAAGGTCACACAGGTTGCCACCCTTGAATCTTTGTCCAGGTGAATGAATGTAACTTTTTCCCTCTGGTCATCATCATCATGTTTTTCTGTGCAGAGTCGCCATCTCTCGCTGGGCCAGATGTAAGGACTCCCTTTAACATGACAATCATTCAATTTCGCTGACAACTGGTACTGCACATTCACTAGGTTTGGAGTAAAGTTGAAGCTGTAAGTTCCATTGCCAACATCTTTGGCTGAAAATTGGGCCACATCATTAAATTTACTTTTGCCTTTTGGTGCACAAATTTTCACCTCACATTTGTCACNCGTTTCATTCCATTCATCTCTCTGGCAGTAATTGTGAATTCAACTGGTTGCCTGACGATTGCATTGTACATTAAACCCTCGAGACCATGCCCCATGGTGACTGTTGATGTACCAGCATCTGTACAGATATTGGTGATGGTTCCATAGCTGGCTGACACTTGGTAAAGTTGGTCATCAGCATAAAACCTAAAGACATCATGTGCACATGGTTCCAGTTTCCATATTGCTGAATTTAGTTCCTGTAATCGGCTGGACATTTTTTGGCGCATGTTCAAAATCTCCACTTCACTGCCATTTTCCAAAGCTTTCTCTGTGAATTCCACACTGCTTTGCACACCGCACAGGGCTGATTCCAATTCTTCTTGCTGGACTTCTAGTGACTTCTGTTTGGCTTTTTTCAGTTCTTGTACACCATGAATTAATTCCTCACAGCGAGCATTCAGACAAGCTGTTTGTTTCTGAAAAGTGTTCATCACTTGTTGAACAGTCTGTTCTGCATGCAATTCAACACTTCTCCTCATCTCTGAAACTCTATTAATTGCCTCCTTTAGTAACCCTGCTTTCCCTTTTGTCTGCGAGAGAATTTTTAACACACTTTCCTTTTTCTCTACAAAAGCATCTTTGACAAAAGTATATTTGTGTTCACGATGCTTCACAATGGTGCAGTCTCTACAGAAAGCTTCATCACATGTCTCACAAAACAGCTTCAACACCTCTCCATCGTGTTCCTTGCAGACACTGGGTTTTGTTACAGCCATAGATCCAGCCATCTTTTTGGCTTCTTCAAGTGACACCAGACTGTGTGACCTTGAGTTACGCCCTCGTTTATGTGCTTGGGAACAAAACTCACATAGAAAGTGGCTGCATGTGGCACATCTGTTAACGAGTGGGTCCCCACTGTCACAAATATCACATTCCAGCGCACAACTTTCTGAGTCTCCATGAAGTGAAACTAAGGACAATAAGTTATTCAGGAAGAAATTAACTGGCAGAGAATCAACTTTTCCATCAGGAAGCTGCATAACATAAAACAGAAGCAAGAATATGATGTCACAATCAGCTGTTTAAATGTATTTTGTTCAACCAGTAAGTGTATTAATTAAACATTAGACTTCTAAGAAAACTATGATTGGTCAAGAGCATACAGTAAAATACACAAATTATTACATATGGCATGTGAAGTTGACATGATAACCCAAAATAAGCCGCAGGGTTTTAATGTTGAGTTCAAAGTCTGCCTAGTTTCCAAGCTCCTTGTTCAATTGTAGTGTACTCACACTTTTGCACACTCTTTGTTTTAAAAAATGTTTAATGAAACCATCACTGAATTTGGTTTTCGCATGATTAATCATGAATTGTTAAACCTCCTGTCTCACATTTAAAACATTTGAAACTAACTGTGCTTCAAAAAAGTGAACGCCAAGAGTACGAATATCACGCTTGACCAAAAGAATCTAAAACTTAAAGCAACTTCGTGTAGGGCTCGAAATTGCGACTGATACGGTCGCTAATGCAACTAAAACTTTTAACTTGGCGACTAAAAGTTCGAGATTAGTCGCCACTTTGGCGACTAAACTAACTTCCTCTGATAATTAAATGAAAGATTGTAGATGACCAAAATTTCTTAAGTCTCGTTTCTGCTTTTCTACCGAAGGAAATGCAGATTAAGTCTGTTTACCTTTAAGCTAAAACTTGAAATCCACCATGTTTGATAAATGTTTGATGCCTTCGTATCGTACGATTTCTTGCATGCGATGTGACATAGGTAGTTTCCTTGCTAAAGTAGCCCTGAAATGTTCTTATTACTTTTTTCGCTTACTGCTTAAGGTAAGATTGTCATGCAAAAGTCTTTTGGAGTTTCTTCTTTTCTGTTTTCATGTTTTAAGTAATTCAAGATCGAGTATTACAGTCTACCCCACAATCGCAGCCACAATCCACCAGAAGCAGAACAACAACGCCAATTGTATAAGGCTCTAATCTGATTTCTGTTCTTGTACTATCTGGCGACTGCATTTTTGCACTTGGCGACCATTTTTCTTTGATAGTCGCCAAAAATTTTGAGCCCTGCTGTAAATGAGTTAATCTGATTAATCATCTAGCAGACAAAGGATAAGGAGGCGTATTTTTCTCGTTTAAATCTCTTGAAAGCGCAGATAACAACATAGAGTAAGGGGAGAAAAATATTTGACGAAGTATCCTTTTTATGGAGCCCAAAACTTGTTGGGTTCCTTCCAGCATATTCAATAGAATAGTTGATGTTGTTATTATGCATATTATGTTTGCCGTTGTTATTTTAAATTTGAAATATTTCACAGGAATAGTTAATTTGATCTATGATTGGTCCAGGTGTGTCTTTTCTTTTTGTTATTCAAAATTTGTTTTTTAGGAATTAGCATATATATAATAGTGTATTCTGTTTTCTCTCTCTGTTGTTGTAACCGTTTATTTGGACGTGATCGGAATAAAAGAAGCAGAAGTTTGTTTTAAACGTGCAAAAATCTTTAG